ATTCGAACCCATGTCGTTGTATGGGCGTTTTTTTATTCCCATGTGGCTACGCCGTAATATGCAACCACTTCCTGTTTTATGTGATTTTGAGTGTTTAATGATGTCTTCCTCACCCGTCACGCCATGACCCAGTTTCAACCGCACGGCCATTTTGCAACACAGTTCGTGACCCTCGGCGTCACCCGACTGACTATATGAGCGTTCTGTTCAACTGTTAAGCTAGGATTTATTACCGTTATTATCATTATATTGTCACGTGATTTGTTTTACCTTATGTGTAATGTCTTAAGTATCTTTATTGTAATTTGTATATACCAATTCGTATATACCGAGGAAACGACCCCGATTGAAGGTCATGTATTTTATGACGTCACCAATTCGTGTGTAGGTACTGCTTCTAGATCTGTGCCGAAAACAAAAATTGTTGTCACATCACAGACCAAAACGCAGTATTATACAAATGTTTGCCCCAATTACAGACATTCTGAGAATTATTCAGCAATCAGTTAGCAATATATCTTGGGTCTTTTCCAATCTAGACTTGATGGCGCCGTTGTATCACCCACAATTGGGATCATTCCAATATTTTGCTAGATGTTATTATGTCTAGTCCATTTTTGTAATGGTTACAACTGACTAAAATGAGCGAGGGGTTGACATGTTTCAACAAATTTAAGCAACACCCAACTTGGATACTTAAAATTACGGAAAATCATTACAATATAAATATAAAAAATAAAGAATGGTTGTTTTATACGCATGCTAGATAATACTTGCAATTCACCATGCTGACAACCCCTATGAAATAGTACTGTAAAATGACTAATTTTCACTGGGTTTAAATTTCACTGATTTACCATTTCAGGCATATTCAGTGGGTTTTAAATTCACGGTTTCGTCATTAAGATAATGTGTTCTATGCTAAATTTTACATATTCACTGTGTTTTAATTTAGCGCATTTTTCCAGTCAGCGAAATAAGCTAAATTAAAACCCAGTGAATAATTACCCTCTTTACAGTAATCGAAAACCACGCACCTGTCAATCAAGTGGCACTGACAAGTCTAGATATGACAAAGACCAAAGTGTTTTGCAAAGTTGCAAGTCATTTTGCTAACTGACTGTCCAAATAATTCTCCGAACGGCTGTAATGTCAATAAAAATCCTAATGTTTGAAAATAACAAATTTAATGACTAAAATACCATCACAAAAACTAAAAACTGAAACAAGACAAGCTATGGACCCATAGCTATTCATTTCATAGATATATAGATGTACAGTACAGTTCTCGCGGAAACTTTGGCTTTTGTGGCATCATTGTCGCATACGTATGGCTTCATTGTCGCCTCAGCATCGCATCATTGTGGCATCAGCTTTGCGTCATTGAAAATTGAAGCTGTGTTCGCCTCTCTTATTTGTGGCATCATCGTGGCCTCAGCTTCGCAGTCTCATGGCATCAACATGGCATCAGCTTCAAAGTATTGTGACACGAGTATGACCTCATTATTTTCACTTGGAAAGGCAGTAGAGAAAAACATGTACAGAAGTTCGATATGTAATCGATTTGAAATTCAAAGCGGTAAGGGGAATAAAATAATATGACCAAGAGTAAAATGACATTTTAAAAAGATATCTTGTTTAATTATTTAATGTTGCGAGTATTGGGTACCAAAAACTATGTGAAGTATATTGCAATCTGCAAGGTGACGAGTGTCATATTGACTGCAAGGAAAATCGTGATAAATTTAAATCACACAATGCAATCGTCGTTCGGAAACAACACAATTTGCTATACGAAATGAAGCTGTTCTTGTTATAAAATTACCTTATTTTCGTTCATTTTATTTGCTGGTAAGAGAACAGATTCAGATTCCTCATTTTGGTGGTATTTTTCTGTGTTTTGTTTAGTTTTAGCCGAGTCCGATCCCATGCCCGGACTACTAATACATGCAAAACATGCGAACGCCACCTGGTGCGTCGGCGTTGTCGCCATCTTGATACAAAGTTCCAAAACAAGTACGTACATTTCCAACTATGATTGGATGGTTGTGGTGGCATCGGTCTGGTAAAATTTTACATCTAATTTTCAAAATTAAGTCACGATCAGTGACCTGAGCTCGATCTATATACGTACTTTAAAAGTATTCTCACAAAAAAATATTTTCGAATAAAAACGAGCCACAGGCCTGGTAAAAAATCGAATAGCACTTGACATGCAGAAATAATTTATTGGGCTTCAGAAAAAAAGTGTTCATGTAGTAAATATTTGGTGACCAGTCGATGAACAATTTGAAACTCATTATACACACGAAGTCCTTCAATACTGAATATCATTGACCCCAATGTGGTTTACCTTATTTCCAAACTTGCAAAACTGATTTGTATCTCAGCCCAGTTTTTCTTTTTTCTTTTTTTGAATTGAGGTCAAATCCCAGCCGTTTGTCAAAATATACCAAAATATGTTTTTCAGTGAATGATTGTGAAGCCTGTCACAACACAGTGAATTGACGCCGGAGATTGACAGTACGACGACCCTTCAATTAGCGTCAAATATGCTTTGTTACAACATCATTGATTTGCATGACCTGGGCCACAGAACCATATTTGTCCGTATTGTCAACGGGACTTTGCGAGAGAACCACACCCACATTTTCAACCATTTTTAGTGCGGAAGTTGCCAACAAATGTCAAAAAACTCGTGAATTTTATGGATTTGAATATAATAAAGCTAGCGATTGGTAAGACTGGTTACTAATATATCCCCCGATGCTCTTCGAATTTTTTTAATTATATTTCAAGGCGAGAAATGGATAATTGAAGTTCCAGCGATTTCAAGGCGACTGTTTCACCGCAACAACTCTACGCTGTGTTGTAGTTTCACGAGGTAAAAAAATATATTTAATAAATAGTACTTGTTTAATTATTTGGTTTTACAGCCCACAAATTACGGGACATGATCCCCATGAATTACGATAAATAAATGCTGATTGTGTTGAATAATGGACGTCGGGACCGTTTGGAGAAACCAACGGGCATCAATATTCCAAACAAATTATTGGGACACGGTCGGTAGACATTTCAATCAAATGAAATTATTAACGAAAGATGAGATTTTTCCAGGTATTTATGAACATACTGTCATACCAAATATATGCAAAATTGACAAATACACAAAGAGATATTAGGTTTTATTTTAGCCTTAGAAATATTTTCTTTCACTCAGTCCATGCGTGAGACTTCTATTTAGCTTCATGGTCCTTCGGCTTGTGTTCTCCTTGATGCCACATTGTCGCCATAATGAGGCCACAATGAAGCGAAGCGATAACCGCCTAACTTTTTAATGTCGGGACATTGATGCGATGCTGAAGCGAAGCTGAAGTGAAGCCAAAGCTTCCGCGAGAACTGTACTGTATTGGTTCAACGATCTGATTCAAAATGGCCGACCAGTGGCCATTTTGTTATAATTAATGCTGTTCCAAAGCAATATCTCTCAATATGGACAAGTACTTGTTTGACGATCAGATACAAGATGACTGAATGTCAATCATTTTAATGTTAAAAAATCGTCATAATCAAGCATCAGCTTCTGGAGCTTTGACATGTTTATGTTCCAACTATATCACTATAAACAAAACTATATATCTTAAATTTGATAACTGAGAATGTGCCATGCATGGCTTACATTAACATATCTGTTAATTAAAACAAATTTTGAGAGGATGAATTATTTGAAAAAATAAAATTTAATGAATGGTAATATTAAAAATTAATTTCAATTTAAAATTATATAGTATTCATTCATAGTCGTATTTTTTTTTACATTTATCTGCAGGAGTTTTAATTTAATTGGTAGTTATGGTACTGAACTGCGCATCAATATTGGTGACTACGTGTGTATTAGCAATATTGATGACAATGGTCTGTCGGGTAAAGATACAAGTTTTATTGCTCAAATTGAGAACCTCTATGACACAGGTAAATTGTATAGTTAAATTATTTTTATTACAAAGTAGTGTTTAATAAATTCAATTGATATACAATGATACAGATCTCATTCAATACCGGCTAGCTGTATGGATTGTTAGGTTATTGTAGACAGCTGTTAAAGTGATCATTGGTACTGCCTTTGTGCATACATGTACATGCGTTTTTCTTGTGATGACTTTATTAATTATACATTTTTTTCTGCTCATAATTATTCTCTAGTTTGGATAAGTACAAAATCAGGGACTTGTATAGATTGATCTGTGTGTGTGTGTGTGTGTGTGTGTCTGTTCGTCCGTTCGTCTTTCTGTATCTTGCCACATCTTACACATACATCTGACATTAGATTGGACATATGCACGTGCATTTGTTTCATGATCCGATTCAAGATGGCTGAAAGGCCGCCATTTTAATACCAAAAATGCATCAATATCACACATTTTCACTAATCCGGAACCAAATCTCAGTTGTGTGTAGACGGATTTTGTTTAAACTTGGTACAGAAATTACACACAAAGGAACTGTGTCAGCCATGTTTCAAAGAATGCAGTTCCAGATCCGTATATTGACGTGCCTGAACCAATCAAGTTCCAACTTCACACACAAATCAGAGATTACATGTATATTGCACATATGCATGAACTGATTCATATGCATGAAAATTTCTCAAAATCGCCATCCGCCCAATCTCAGTCGAGCATGTACAGATTTTTTTCTAGCTTGGTACATACATGTACCTTGAATATAGTAGGGCCTTGGTGTACTCCATTTAATTTTGGTGGCCATTTTGTTTCAAGAATGCAGTTCCTGATCCTTATATATGGCATACCTGGGCCGAGCAAGTTCAAACTTGACACACACATCATATTTACCAAACAAACATACATTTTTGTCACCATCAAATCCAAAATGGTTGACTGGCGGTCATCTTCTTTAAACAAATGCAGTTCTACATAGCCATATCTCATACATGCTTGGACCAATCAAGTTTAAACTTCACACATATATATTTCTGTGTCTACAAAAAGGGACTATGTCATTGACAGTGACTTGTTTAGTAAAAGATAATAACCTGAAATTCTGGTGACATTTTTTTTTTGATTCATGTTGGTGCAGTTCTTTACATTCAGTGCATAGATCGGATGTTATAGACCGGTAGTCACTGTTTAAAAAAAAAAAAATTTTCTGGTATTTTTTGTGTTGAAAGCGCCATTTTTGTTATCCCTGTATATCCCAGGTCATTGCCACAGAAAACTAGACTTAAATTATCTCGCAGTAAGTAATTGGTCTATTTGTGTCTTAAAAAAACTATTGCACAAAAATCTAATTTTAAATTAATTGGCACAAAATATATTTTTTCCAATATTAATGTAATTTGTTACACCTTGTAGAGCAGTGCAGGGTATAATTATTATTATAATTATTATTAATATAAATAATAAAAGTAATATTTTTTGTAATCTTGTATTTGTTCACTCAATTGTTTTATGGAAAATAAATTGAAGATTCACTGACTGTTGTCCATGAGCAATCAATTTGTGCAGTTAAGATAACCCTACTAAATTTTGAGCAGTGTTTATCAGGGGCTGTCCAAAATGGCAATTAGCATCATGGGACATTTCTAATTATCTGCCATATTTTGGATGTAAAACAGTAAATTGAACAGAAAACAGAGAGACTTTTTGTCTAAAATAATTGAGCAAAATTAATTGTGGGCTTTTTGAAAATCTATCAGCAAACTTCTGATATACAGTGAATGTGATTCACTGCTTATAAACAGTTCACAGAAGAAACCTACAAGTATAGGCATTGTCTCGGGATCCACCAGACTTTTGAAATTTAGTATTTTGAGGGCACCCAATTTTGAGACCAAATTTGTAAAAATGTCTTCAACTCATTGAAATTGTATAGTAAATATTGAGGGGCATTAAGGTATTCAGGTTAACCAATGAAATTGTCCTCATGACCTTTGGGAATTTTGAGTACTGTAACCGTAACGATGGCCCGTTTAGCTTTTGGCCATGCCATAATGTTTCCAACCAATCAATCCACGTCATTAGTGTTAGCTGGCTGTATTAACATCTATTGACCAGTGTAATTTATGCATTTATCGTAGCCTGTGTTTGACAAACTTCTAAAAGTTCTTCAATAGATCTCAAAATGCAAATGGCCGCAAAAGATCTCATTGACAGTGAGAGAGCTGCAAGACTTTTTTTTGCCCCTCAAATAGTGTTCCATTCCCCCCGTCATCAAATGGACTGTTCCTCTGACCTATATATCTATGGTATTTGGAACAGTGTACGAGATGACTCACTGTCGACAAAATCTTACTGGCCATTTACATCTAAAATTTTTATAGACATTCTGAAAATTTGCAAAAGTGAACACTTTTAGGATAAAGCACAGCAAAATTAATTCTTTCAAAATGTCTGCAAGTCATTGTAATATTGTCTAGATTTGATAATTATTAAAAAAAACACTTAAATTTATCAATTAATTGGACTCAATATGTAAAATATTCCCGCTTTTCAAATTTGTTTATTGTCATCTATGAATAGTTTAACCTTTGACATCTGAAAATCACCACTGTTACCTTTCACAAAATATACCTGTATGATTTTTTTAGTCCCCGTTCGGACGAAGTCCGAAAACGGGGACTTTTAATTCGGTCTCTGTCCGTGCGTCCGTCCGTCCGTCCGGAGTCATATTTCAGAATCCTGTGGACTGATTCCGTTCATTCTTTGCATGTGCCTAGTACCTTATGTGGGACATGTGCACATGCAGTGGTTTAGCGATTTGATTCAAAATGGTCGACTGGCAGCCATCTTGTTTTTTGAAGATGTTGTATTTTGGTCATGCTTTGTCAGTTGTCATTCAAACTTGGTACATAGATTATACATGTTAGGATACATGTCCATGACGATTTATTTCGCAATTGGATCAAAGATGGTCGACTGGCAGGCATCTTGTTTTTTTATATGCGGTATCTTAGACGTGCTCTGTCAGTTTTCATTCAAATTTGGCACATACATGTACTTTATACATGTTAGGATGCATGTGCATGACAATTTGTTTCAAAATCGGATCAAGGATGGCCGATTGACAGCCATCTGACGTTTTGGCCTCAACACTATATTTCCACAATTTATGTACCATTTTCATTCGTATTTGGCACATACATCATACATATCAGTGTGTTTCATAATCAGATCAAAGATGGCAGAATAACGACTGTTTTTATTTTTGGCCATATTACTACTACACAAAACACGTGTTTTGACTTAATTTAGCAATTTATTTTTCCTAAGGGGAGTCTGATGACTGTAAGAAGGCATCACTCAAGTGGTATATTAGACATCAGGAGTTACCAAAGTACAAGAAATTCCAGCAGACTGATAACAGAGAAATATACCTTTACACTCAAAAGTTGAATTCTGAAGATAAGGAAATTGACATTGAAACTATTTGCGGCAAATGTGAGGTAATTACTTATAACTTTTTCCCCCACCAGACTTTCTCACCCTAATTTTTCTGCACTTTTTTCTTGTATTCTTCAATATTTCTGGAAAAGAACCCCAATTTTGGAGCCAACAGGCAAAATTTGAGTTGAGTTTCAGTTTTTACTCAAAAAATTTGGCTATTTTTGTACCGATCTTGATTAAGGAAAGTGTATGCAGACTATAAACGGGACAATTATGTGAATTTGTGATGAAAAAGGGGGTACTGGTGGAGAAAAACTTAGTGATGCAGTTGCTGCATCGCATCCTGTTTGATATCAGACCTGTAGTGACATATACCGTTAAAGTCCTAATATAAACCGCATACGTAATAGTAACCGCACCCCCAATTCCGGCTTCGGGGTAAAAGAGTTCTTAACAAAAATTGAAAACTTGAATAGTACCTATTACTAACCGCACCCCCAATTCAACAAGACCGTGACTGACTTCATTGTTTCAACCAGCT